TAATAATTTTAGGGAAATTACCTAAAATAACCACAAAAATATTATAATTCACTAAACTAACCAAATCACTTTCATCTGAGAGTTCTAAATCCTCCATATCATGCTTTTTTAGTTAGATTACTAATTATTATTAATTTTTGGTTAATCTTACAATTGACCCATTTTTACGTTTTTTTGCGGTCTTAAATTTTTTTTTTGAGGTTTTATTTATTTTATTATATAATTGTTTTCAGTTCTTTCTTGGTTTTTTTTTTGTACCAAGTCTCGAAATTGTAATATGAAATATGCCACATAGATTGAAGATTTCTTCTTCTTTGTGTAAATTCTTTTTTGTGCGAAATGATTTTCTCTAATAATGGCATCGAACAAAACGAAAGGAGAAAGACTCGCGTGTTTGGTGGGTCTGATAATGATTTTTTTTTTCACTAAATAATTTGGTGGACGACTCAAATCTTTGTAATACAAAATATATCTATTGCTTTCTTATTTTTCTTCATTATTTTTGTTGGAAAAATTGTCGAAATGATTCTCAATTTTCAAATTTCAAACTTCGGCCAAAAAAAAAACACCAACTCTTCCCTGAACCAAAAAAATGTACAAATTCACTGCCACGGAGGAGAGCGATGTCAGCGAACATAAGAAGATCGTTATTAGACTTGGTTGTATTTGGATCATTGTCATGGCTGGATGTGGAGCTTTCTTATCTCTGTCGGTGCATTAGTGACCTGGAAGTTCACTGCCATGGAGGTGATCAATGCGAATGAACATAAAAAGATGGTGAGAAGACTTCTTTGTGTTTGGTTCTTAGTGATGGCGGGGTGTATGTCCTTCGTTGCCACTTAAAAAAAAGAACAATTTTTTACATACCCAAACCCAGAAGTATTCAAAGGTGGATATGAGGGCATTAGCTTGAAACATTTGAATGGAGCCCCACTTTATGACGGACTCACTTAAAAAAAATCTGTATTTATATAAAAATTAGAAAAAAGTTAGGAAGTTTAGTAGGAGATCTTAACAAAAAATTGCGTAGGTTCTAAATCATTATGTGTAAAATATGTTATACAATTATATGATAAAAAATAGAAGTAAAATATAACTATGTTCATGACAATCTTGTTTTCCGATAAGAAGTTTTTCAAAATTTTTGTTTATTTTTTTTTCAATTTTTAAATAAAAATTATAGAAATTAAGATGTCAAGCTCTGCTAGTAGAGCAAAGAAACATTAAAACATCAAATAAAATTATGTTCTCTTATAGTAATTCTTAATTTTGTATCAACATTAAAAAATCCGACAAACAAAAGTAAGCGACAAAAGTGAAGCGGAGTCATTAATTTCTCTACTCTACTTTCCCGAAAACTATTTTTTATGTCATTCTGATATCAACCAACAGAAAGGTGGACGACATATTATCACATGTGTGCACACATATATATTTTCATAAAATAAATAAAAAGAGATTGAAGGAAAAAAAAAGGGGTCTAAAATAGATAAAACCCTTATTTTCAGGCTAATCAATAAAGTTTTAAATGAAAATATCTAGCAAACTTATGAAACAACGAATCTATTGTTGATCCTTGGATTTGCTAAGTCTTTTCTCGAGATCCTCATGATAGTCCGGACAGTGGTTGCAGTTGCATACGCAGTTCTTGACTTCCAAAGATGATTTATGGTCTTTGTCTTTTTCTATTAGTAGACCACGATATGTGTCTACGGCAACCCATAGTACGCTGAGGAGTATGGCCAATGGAATGCCGATCACAAAAATAGCACCAAGAATAGATTCCTTCATCTCTTCCGACACCATGCTTCTCTGATTCTAGAGAGTGTTTCTCCGAAACTTAGGAAATTATTTAATGGAAAAAAAAGAAACGTAAAACCTTTCATTAGGCAGTGTATATGTATGTATATATATAAACGATGGAATTAGGTTTCATTACCTCAGAGATTAATTAGGATTAGGATAACTATGAATATTCCACAAGAGTTTTGGATTTGATTTGCCTAAATTCGTCATTATCTTTCTAAGAAGGAAAAAAAAATGATTTTTTTTCTCATAAAGATAGATACAACAAAAGATACGGTTTTTAAATTTTCAGATATGTAACAAGATAGATTTTGGGGTTAGCTTATTTACTTTTCCAAGTTCAAGAAAACTGGAAGCCAAGGTGTGTTCTGTTTATGTCTCTTATGGATTGCCAGCAATCTTTTAGGTTCAATGAGTTTTGTTTATGTTTACAGGTGGCAAAGGCATCAGATCCAAACTCACTTTTCCAAAGGAACCGAATCTCAGAACTGCAGAAAGATAGGTATTGAGAATATCTGCTTATCAAGCTTATAACATGTTTTGAGGTTTAAAAATGGATCTTTAAACGATTTTTCTCTGGAGGGTTTTCAGGTCTAAAGGTTCACATTTCCTTTTTTCCATATAACCTTTGTTCTTGTCTTCAATCCTTCCTAACCAAGCATAACTTCTTTTTCCCTTACCCAAAATGCCCCTCGTACTACCCTAAATTCACTATAAAAACCATCCCTTCCAAAGTTCATCTCAGCAACAGAACATCCTACTTGGGACAGAAGAAAGTAAATGAAACCTAGAATAAGCTCTCGAGGCTGAAATCTTATAAGCTACTTTTGGACATAAATTTGCGGAACTGAACAAACCATTGTGACGCTTCTGCTTCGCGGTCCTGAGCTTCACTCCTCTCTTGCTGTTCCCTAACTCCGTAGTCAGTAAGACTTTGTTGATGACGGATCAAGAGAAGGCAGCTTCTTCGCCACTTGCAGAGATGGAAGAAGAGAGAGCAGAACCCTAGACACTTCAAGCATTGTTTGGTCTCTCTAAAGGGTCTTTCCCTTTGTGCATAAGAGAGCCATCTTAAAATGTCTTCCTGATATGTCCTAAGTCCACACAAGTCATAGTAACCCCTGGATCAACCGCTTCCATCACAGTATTATCATCAGTCTTTGACAATATCTGCAACAAAGATAACAAATTTTAACTCTTTTTGACGGTACAAGATCATATAAAACTATATCCATCTTTCAAGTGGTTTCATAATTCATATACCAGTTGATGCAAGTTAGCTTCGTTGTCCACTGCTTTCTTCCAGGTAAGAAGCTCAAGAAGAACAATCCCAAAGCTGTAGATATCAGATTTCTCATAGAGACGCGTACGAGCATACTCTGGGTCTATATAACCAATTGTCCCGAAATCGTAAGTTGCAGCATGAGTTTTGCTGGCTGGTATGCTCTTAGCAATCCCAAAATGCGATAAATGTGCTTCCAAAAGTTTCATCAAGAAGTATATTTGATGATTTGATGTCACGGTGAATGATCCTAGGCATACAATCATGGTAAACTGCTATCTTCAGCCTCGTCTCCCAATCAAGCTTCACTTTCTTCAATGGTCTACTTTTAAGAAAATAAAAAACAAAACTTCTTGTTATATTTCATCTGCAAAAACTCATTCATCACAAACTGAAGCAAAAATATTTACATTTCATAAACCCATGGGGGAACAAAGAGTGTTGGGATTGACGGATGTGGTTAAGTGGAAACCCATGGGCAACAAAGGAGGGGCTTCAAATGTGGTTCGCCGTTTTAGGCTAGATTTTTTAAATAAAATTTCACTTCTTAACAAAAACTCAGAACAAAGAA